TCTCTCTCTCTCTCTCTCTCTCTCTCTCTCTCTCTCTCTCTCTCTCTCTCTCTCTCTCTCTCTGTCTCTCTCTCTCTCTCTCTCTTCTCTCTCTCTCTCTCTCTCTCTCTCTCTCTCTCTCTCTCTCTCTCTCTCTCTCTCTCTCTCTTCTATCTTCTTCTCTCTCTCTCTCTCTCTCTCTCTCTCTCTCTCTCTCTCTCTCTCTCTCTCTCTCTCTCTCTCTCTTTGAATCTTTCGTTTTCGCTCTCTCTCTCTCTTGCTCGCTCTCTCCCTCTCTCCTCCCTTTCACCCCCCCTCTTTCTCTCCCACACATGGCTTAAATTTTTGGTTAACTCGTATTCCCACGTGCAGCAATACCCCCATGATATGTGTTTCTATATTGTCATTTCAAACCTGTGACCCGTACTCATTGGTGTCTTTCCAGTTCTTCCACAAAGATGGTGAAGGGTGGAAATTCAAGAAACCATTGAAATGATCGTCTATAAATGGAATCGCTCATTACAAGTAGATGACAGAGGAGGTTGCTACTGCCACATACACTAACTTCCCTGCATTGAATATCTGGAATGAATTGCACACATCAGGATGTTTTAATATAATTAAGTGTATACATATGAATGACAGCCTCATGGTGTTTGCGCATTTCTAATTCACCATTCACAGCTTGAGTGCTATACCTTTATACAAATATTCCATGAAATACTTCCCATGAGAAGCGTATCAGTAGAGCTCATAGGGTCTATGTCCCCCAGGGTACTGCCGGAACGTACCCTGGGGGGGGGGGGGGACATAGACCCTCTCAGCATCAGTAGATGCAAGTTCATTTTCATCTTTTCTGTTATATCCATGTAAAACATGACTTAAATTTGCTACACGTGTATGCATGCACACACTGGATAATATTATGGGGCTAGCTAGTAATATCTTAGCTAGCTCTAGTACTATAGTTCTCGTTGGCTGAAATAATGAGGTTTATAGTACTAGAACTAGCAACAATTATGGAAAAAATCGTTATATTGGAGTTGTAACTTTGCAGATCTAATACAATCATGGATGCAATATGCAGCATGGATACAATATGAAGCATACATACAATATGAAAATGACAATACAAATACAAATACATACAACAATACAAATACATACAATACAAATATGAAGAATACATACAAAATGAAGCATGGATACAATATGCAGTATAGGGAGAGCACAATGCTATCATGGGATATGTGACACGATTTTAATTATGCATCTTTGTCATATAGTCACGTTTATTTAACAACTGATCTATTTGCACTGATGACGTGATGTCTTATCTTTATAATTTTCTGCAATTGTCTTATTTGCAACAATTGTAATACATATTCGACGAGAGATGGCGGTAGGGGTGTTCCTTTTGACAAATGAGCATTTAGCTTGGTCGCGTTTTTGTTGATGACGGGGAAGAGGTGACGTATTTGCACGGTAAGTTCTAGCGTTGATTTAAAAGTTCGTTTAACGTTATACTGGTGTAAATATTTAATAAATTAACGCACTTTCAAAAAGTCAGAGATTTCGATTTCCTACATTACGGACTACCGAAGTGGCTCTGCCTAGGCCCCTGTAGTCTGTACTGGGCTAGTACTAGTGCTAGTAGGTGTAGCTCTAGTACTATAGCCCGCGGCTAGCTCCAAGAAACGGTAGGCCTATTGCTAGAGTTAGAATCTCCAATGGATTGTATAGACAATCCGTCGCACAGCCTGGTCGGGCTAGTGTAGCAGCGTAATCGGCAACTTGAAGTAGCTCTAGTACTATAGCCCGCGTTCATTAACTGCCGCAGCGGCATACTACTAATACTACTACTACTACTAGAGCTAGTTGTGACACTGACTGTGAGTGTGAGTGCACAGGCACTTGGAGGCTCAATTTTCAAGAAGAGTATAAGAGCGAGGAGAATCAAGGATAGTTTGGGGTGCTAAACTATCCTTGGGCCGTCGATTGCGTGTGTTTTTGCATTTGAAACATATATATATTATAACATGCACATCAAAATTACAATATCAGGTGAGTGCTGCCACCAGCCAATTGCCACAGCCAACATTGCAACAATGGAGCCGCTCTATCACGAAACCAACAAGATCCTGCAGGAGGTTCACGCTCTCCTCAGCGAGTACGACCGGGCGGGCAGCGACGAGGCGCCGGACGTCGAGCGTCGCCTCGGCGACGTGTTCGACGCGATCAATGCCAACGTCGGCCGGCTCGAGATCCTCGTGAACAAGGAGCCGCCGACGCGGCGGCAGAACGCGAGGCTGCGGCTTGACCAGCTGAAGTACGACCGGCAGCACCTGGAGGCGGCGCTGCGTAACATGCAGCACCGGCACTACCAGCACGAGGAGGAGGCGCGCCAGCGGGAGCAGCTGCTCGCGCAGTCGTTCCGGCCGAACGACGACGCGTCGGTGATGATCGACCACACGCTGCAGCACCACACGGGCCTCAGCAACGCGCACCGAGAGGTCGACAACCTGCTCGGCAGCGGCGGATCGATCCTTGGGAACCTGCGCGAGCAGCGCGGCGCGCTCAAGGGCGTGCAGAAGCGCGTGCTGGACATCGCAAACACGCTCGGCATGTCGAACACCGTCATGCGGCTGATAGAGCGGCGGACGACCCAGGACAAGGTCATACTGTGGGGTGGCATTATCGTCACCTGCGTGATCATGTACCTGACTATTAAATATCTAACGTAAATTGTGCACTGCGGTGTGTGTAGCATCGAGAGTTGATGAACTGATTTTCGTTTTGGTGTGCTCTCGATAGCACAAGCTTTCTATGTATATATATAAAGCAGATCCAGCCATCTTCACTTGGAAGCATCTGTACCTTGCTGGCTAGTGTTTATAGAAGATGCACGTATTCAGTGATAATGGGGATGTAGGGTGTGATAATCTGCAACCCTGCCAGTATTATTTGATTCAACTTTATTTTAACACTCTGTCAGTGTTCGCTATCTCATATTTTATTGTTATTATTATGTCAAATACTTCAATGAGGTAAATAAGATGAGACAATTGCCACACAAGTGCTATGTAATGAGTAATGATTAGTTTTATGGATTGTCTGAGTAAATTTGCAATTTAATAAGGGAACTGATTATATGAATGCAATTAGTGGGCATGGTTACATGTATTGACAGTTTACAAAAGGTTGTGTTTTAGTGCTGTAATTACATTTCCATGCTTAGCTGATAATTGTCTCAAGTCATAAGAGTTTATTGTCAATGTCTGAGTTTTTCAGTTTTTTGTTACCTTGCTTAGTGGAGCTGATAGGGTCTATGTCTCCCTCGGTACTGCCGGAACGTACCCTGTTAACTATCTGATATGGTTAGGGTTAGGGAGTAGGCATAGGCGACTCCCTAGACTCGTTAGTGGAGTAGGCGAGGTACGGTCAGGCATATTAGATAGTACCAGGGTACGTTCCGGTATACCAGACTGTTACCGACTGTACCCAGGGTACGTTCCGGTATACCGGACTGTACCCAGGGTACGTTCCAGCAGTACCCAGGGAGACCTATAGACCCTGGCAGCCTTAGTGGATGAGCTGCGACATTATTTGTGGGCAATAGCATAATGTGGTTACTAATTGCTATTAGCTATCACCTCTCCCTGGGCACATTTTCTAATCATTCCATTGAACATTACTTGTGATTTACTTTTCCACTGGCATGTTAAAGACTATAGAATGTGATTACGCATTAAAACCAATTTCTTTTGAATGCAGTGGAACTTGTAATATAGCACTTTGTAGCAAAGTCAATAATAAACTTGATGCCTACATATTAGCATGAACATATCTGTATACTTGTCTATTACTATGTAATATCATATATTGCTAAAGAGTAGCTACTGCCTGCTATGTCAGTACCTAAACACAATTGATAGAGCACATGCATGGCAGGAATATAGATGTGTTTATCATATTATTGAATACTGACTGTGCTATATAAACGAACCACCTGGTTACGTTATCATTTGACGGTATTGAAAGGTGGTAAACAGGTGTATGTAAAATCTATATATATGCTTCGTGATAAAGACAACTTCACAGTTGTTATATTGACCTGTGTAATAATAAGAGTGAAACAAATGTGTTATCAATAATATATCATGGGGCTGTGCCTATCTTATTTCATCATGACCACTGGCTATACCTTTTTTCGTGTTTTCATCAACATATCGTAAATTATAACATACTAAATGCACAGCCTGTATAATAGAAAGCATAGACAAGCATTCTTGCCCAAATATATTCCTACGATGTGCAGAATTGTCACACTATATCCGAGTTGTTTGAAAACTTCGATTGTTGACTAAGGGGCGTGTTATCTGTGCGTGCGTGTGGTGTTGCGAGCGTGGGTGCGTATGTGTTTGCCTGCGTGCGTGTGTGTGTGTGTGTTTGCGTGCGTGCGTGTGTGTGTGTGTGTGTTTGCGTGCGTGTGCATGTGTATGTGTGTGTGTCCACAAGCGTGCACACGATTGGGTACGTTTCCTAAACACAACTTGCAAAGTGCAATGAATTTGGATATTCCTTTATATCGTAATGAGATTAACTGCAAGGAGGGTATATCTAATGAGAATAAATTGCCCTACTCCGAGTGTCAAGTACACTTCAGGGCTATTACACCCCTTATCGGGACTTGCCCTATAGTGCTCACTGTATTCAAGCTAGGAGTGCTGTCAACTGATAACCCCCGGCAAGTATTGCAGTTGCTGTCATTTTATTAAGAACTACAAATGGTCATGATAGTTTATAAACATTCGGTCAGTAATTAGTATAAAGTCACCGTAGTAGTCACGCCATGCGCTTTAACATCATCAAGAATATATCAGGGGTTAATAATGAAAATTTGTCATTATTAACCCCTGAATATATCAGGAGTCTATCAATGAATATCCTGAATATATCAAAAGCGTATTAAGAAGGGACTCCTTAATACGCTCTTGAATATATTCAGGAGCAAATAATTCACGATATAATGTATGACATTTAATCCCGACAGGTGGCGTTTGTATTTACAAGGTGGCCACTTGCTGTTGCTCGAGCTTTTACTTTTAGCTTAGCTAGTAAACTTTCTAAACGTTCTGCAGAAGTAAAGTGCTGAACGCATTATACCGCAATGAATTTTCTGTCGAATAATGGAGCATGCGTATTTTGCGTCTTCCTTACATGCTTGGCTTTGACCGGTTCAAAAAAAGCTAGGAGCTTTGAAACCATTATAGAGGTATGCTGCGCATTATACGGTTTCGGGTTTGTTACGTTGTCGGAATAGTCACGCTGACTATGGCTCTACACGTAACACAGGGTAGGTCATGCTAGTGTTCGGTGTGTAAGTTACGATAACGATGTCTGGCATTGACAGAGCAGGATGACCTGTCCTATGCGTTATCGCATCTATGCCAAGCACCCTGGTTGAAATGCAGAATCAAGTCCGCGACCCTCACCGCGTCATGAGCGTGCCTGCTCGTGTTCGTATAGTGAGTGTCTGTCTATACAGTAGCCTGGTCAAGCTAGGCTTCAAGGACACAATCCTAGTTTGCTGCTACATCAAACCTACATCATCATATTCATAGTTCCAGAAACAGCTCTACGTCAAAAGACCAAAATATCAAAAGCTGTATTATATCAAGAGCTAATAATACCTAGAGTGTACAACGGAAAAACGGGAAAATAGTGCTATTTCACGACTACATTATTCTACTTTGCCTGCGAGTCTAGAATAATTTCATGGTATTGCATTAAGCAGAATTCCTTGCTCTCTAAAACAAGACCAACCGCTTGTCAATACGATACTCCTAGGCGGAGATATCGGCTCCTAAACCTCCCCTCCCACATGCCAAACGCCGCCTCGAATCCACTTCTGCCAGCATGCTACACGCGGGTAAGCATTTTGGCTATCGGTTTCCGTCACCACTTGGAGCGCTGATAATTGATGTCATATGCCCAAATTTGGTACTGTTACTACACTTATGCTAGCCGCACACTATCCGATTTTGCGCTGTGCACAGCATAAACGCCCCGCACACTATCCGACCCGATCCCGATCAATCGGGAGGCCACCGCACACTGTCCGACTCAAAGTTGACGCAAACCATGGCACTCTCGTGGCGTTCCAAGCGGATTTAGCGTGTACTAAGCGTCGGGAGTGTTTACCATGGTTCGAATGCCATTCAATTCGAATGCGGTTCCCATGGCGCTGCTCTGTGATTGGTCAATTTTCTTCAGCGCTAGTCGAACGGGTCGGATGGCCACGCACACTATCCGAGTCGCGTCGTAAGCCCTCGCACACTATCCGACCCGATCTGCTCCCGATTCAAAATTCGAATCGGGCCAAAATGACCTCCAGGGCCAATCTTAAGCCTCCCGATCCAAACCAGAACATCTCAAACCAATCGTAAGCCTTCAAATCACGCTCGGGTCGGATAGTGTGCGGCTAGCATTAGTAACTGAGCTGCGTTGTAAAAACTTGATGGAGCCGGCTCCATCATGACGGGCGTTAGCCGTGCTAGGAAAGATAATGGAAGATAAGGGCATAGGCGATGCCCCCGAATGTCACCTATGATAACCGAAGCACCGTCCATTCATAAATTTATCGCGGAAAAACCGAACTTTCACGAAGCAACGCTTAGCCGCGTGTAGGATGCTGGCAGAAGTGGATTCGAGGCGGCGTTTGGCATGTGGGAGGGGAGGTTTAGGAGCCGATATCTCCGCCTAGGAGTATCGTATTGACAAGCGGTTGGTCTTGTTTTAGAGAGCAAAGAATTCTGCTTAATGCAATACCATGAAATTATTCTAGACTCGCAGGCAAAGTAGAATAATGTAGTCGTGAAATAACACTATTTTCCCGTTTTTCCGTTGTACACTCTAGGTATTATTAGCTCTTGATTATATGTATGTTAGTCATTCATTCGTATATTTACTAATGGTACTTAGTAGCCGAAAGACAGTAATTCAAGAAGGTATAGTGTCTAAACGACCGGACCCGGTTTCGGAGGCCTGAAAACTAAACAGCCGGCTCTCTTCTCCGATTGGTCAGTTTCCGAACATAACAGGACAATTTTTAATGCAAAACATAAAGAAATATATTTAATTCCGAACATAAACAAAAGTTACAGAACAAATAAATGAATACGTAACAAAGAAATACAGAAAGCAGAGGAAAATAAAAACATCTTATGGGGTTCGAACACGGTACGTTACTATCACGAAGCGATCGAAAGCTCTACCGTTGAACCACTGAAACCAACTTGAATGTTAGGGCAATAGACCCTAACCCTAACCCTAACCCTAACCATAATCCTAACCCTAACCCTATCCCTAATTCTAAAATAAAATAAAATTAGCCAAAAATAATAAAAAATGAAATAGTGACAAAATTAGCCAATCGGAGAAGAGAGCCGGTTGTTTAGTTTTCAAGATACCGGATCCGGTTGTTTAGACACTTCCATTAAGGAAACATAAAGACTCATGTTTATTTACCATCATTTTATTATTAAAACTTTCCAAGTTCCTGAGGTTACAGCCAGCCGTTGTTGTTCATGGACCAGTGGTAAACCAGCGGAGTATTCTCTCTGTATCATAAAATTCAGTGGCCTAGCCAGGATTTTTTAACAGTGGGGGCCAAAAACAGCGAACTGCGCAAAATAGTGGATGACTTGGTATTTTAATGGTTTCTACACTACCCTCTCCACACCCTACGCTCCCCCACCTCTCAGCTCTGGAATCTTTGTTTTGGGTGCGATGCAAAAAGGCGACATTTTTGTTTGTTATTCTCTGCTCCCAAGATATGTAACCGTTCAGTGGCGAATCCAGGATTCCTAAATTTTCAAAAAGTAGGTCGCAGGAGATGGTATTTGAGGCACTTTTGAGTACCTCAAAAGCCTTCATTCTGACTATGACAATTCTCTTTTTAGTAGAACAATTCTTTTTCCTTTTTATTTACTTTTGGATCAAGCCCCCCCCCCCTAACTATGCCACTGATGAAATTGTTGCCACACTGCATCCGGTAACTCTTCTATATTACTTGTAACAATTATTAGGTCGACTACAATTTCCATGAACTCGTACATATGTGGATTATCAGCGTTATTGTTAAACGAGGTTTTCCCTTTCTTGCTATTGTAACAGCAAGCATCACCATCATGCTCCCAGACTGCAGAAGTTGGTGATACTGTTGCAGTCCAATACACGGTAAGCACTAAGCAGACTATAGCTGCGTTCACACGAGGATTTCAGTACCGTACTTGAGCGTTCACACACTAAAAATATACGCGGCTTATTCAGTACCGTACTGAAATACGCGGCTTACTCCGCGCGGAATCACATTCCGCGCCGAATAAGCCGCGTATTTCAGTACGGTGCTGAATATGCCGCGTATATTCGGCACCACGCTGGCCGCGTATTGTCTGTCGTGTGAACGCAATTTCGAATTGCGAAACTGTAGCGCGCTTACCTAGACTGGTACCCGTTCGCTACACGACGTTAGTGTAGCGTGTGGAACTGTCGTTCTGCATTTCCTCCCTCTCATCTCAACTCGTTTTCGATTATCCCCCCACGTTCCGAATATCGTGACCGTACGTCGAGCCGTTTAGATTTGTGCCCAACTGTTGACGGACGCACGGAGGCACGCTCATGCGATTCTACAAGCTGCATCTGACTATGTCAGATGAGCTAAAAACTAAGCAATTGGATTTTTTACCTTTTGGACTGACTAATTACATGTCACATTTAGAGTGAAAGCAAAGCCTGCTTTGTGACTGGATTTTGAACCACTAGTACCGGTGTTTGCAACTGGTCATCCTTTAATTTCAAAACTTGGCATACTACTGATATTCAGATACAATAGTGAAACAAAATGTACACATGGAGTGGATGAGCAGGAAGAATAATGCTTTTACTACATTCTTGTGAACATTTTGTTGCTCACAAGTGGAATACAAGTCTGTATTAAATCTCGATCTGCACTTGTAGTAAAAGCTATGTTTATAGATTTTCAATATTGTGTTACAAAGTCTATAGTGATACTGTAAGAAATGTATGACACGGCCTTTCGGCAATTGTAGTTTAGCCATGGAGAGCATTGTGAGCAGACCAAATTGATCTATTGAATGATGTAAGAACTATTATGGCATTGTGCATTATACTAGAAAGCCATCATGCTACGTGTAGGGCCTTTTAAAATTACGCTATGACTTACACTAATGTAATAGGGTCATTACACTATTACAGGGTATACTGGAAAATGGGCAGGTATTTGATACCTCGAGAAGAGAAGGCAGGGGACCGTTTACGTTTGTATTGGGACAGAAGCAAGTAATTCCAGGTGTGGCATGCATCAAAGTGATGAGCATTAATTTTGAAGTTGACAATTAAATCACTGATGTACCAAAGTAGAAAGTTATATCTTGAGTCGTTTATTTGGTAGTTGTGTTGAGACTATTGTTGTTCCGTGTTACGGTGCAATCCGGGTTTTCAATGTAACTGCACTTCCGCTTCCGTTATGGCGAATACACGTTAGCAGTACGTGTATGTTTAACTCTGGTGTTTGTCCATTTATTATACTAAACCACGGCCATTATGCAATAACAAAGATAAAACAGTAGTAAAGAACTTTTTCCCTCTTTTATAGAGGTGGAAAGGTTATATGCTAAATAGCAATGTGCAAGAATATATATATTTGGATCCTGTGTGTGAATTAATTGTAGTGTTGTTAACTTGCAGACATAATAAAATGTCCAATTTTTTTCAGGGTGGGAGAAAGGAGTTGTAGGTATGTGTGTTGGGTAAGTTATAGAAAGGATTGCTTATCTACCAAATCAAAAATCCCTGATCAATGTCATACTAGGTGATATTGTTGTACATTTTCTTTTACTACAAAATTTATTAAAACTGGATATGCCTACTGCTGGCTGGCTATTATTAAGCGTTTGTGTAATTTTAGTCGCATGTACAAATAATATTGTATTTGTCACTCTTGCCACAGGGAGATACGAAAACTGATTATTCCACCTGAACTGGCATATGGTTCAAAGGGAGTACCACCACAAATACCAGGCACGTTCATTACTACTCTTGATGTTATGGCCTCATCATACCTTAAAATAATTTGAGTGAATGACACCAGTTTAACCTCGTGTCAGTGTCAAAGTCGTAGTCACGAAAAAGGCAGTCAAACACGATTTGACAGAATTTGTGAAAATGTGATTCATCTCTCTGGCACAATTAAGTTTTAACCAATCAAACCAGGTTTTCTTTTGACACGGTGGACATTTCATCGAGCATCACACTTACTCAAATTTTGTTAGTTCGAACATTGTAGATTACACCCACCACCAACCAGGCGAATTATCACTAATCCATGCTATAAGATTAGAACCTGAACGAAACCCCTCTCCCTACCCACAAAGAGATATTTACATGTTGACAGGTATCTGTCGTGCGTTGCGAGTAATTTTTTATCTCTGCGAACGGCATGTTGATCTGTGGACACGTGCACCGCTCGTTCCAGGGGACGCAACACTGCTATTCCAGGTGGAGTTGGTGGCCGTGGAGAAGGCGACGATACTGCCGCGAGTACTGTCGCTTGTGCAGCTGCTTGCTGTGCCTTGCATTGCCGTCTACACCATCTACTACTGCTACACTAAGTACCAGGAGCAGGAGCAAAAGCTAAAGGATAGTCGGAAACAAAAGAAGCGGCGATAACTAATGGTTTCGTTCCGAACAGATATTGGCCTGTCCGACTGGAGTGATTGAGAAGTAGTTATTTGCCGGTCAGTGTTGCAACAGGGGACATTCTGAAAAATACTGCTTACTAACGGTGCTGCGAAGTCAACAGTTTAGTGTGGACATGTGAATACGAACTGGTATACAAGCAGCAATATCTAATCAGGCATGTTTATCTTGCTCAGATGGATAGGTCAATGACATTGGTGGGAGCAATTTTCCTTTAATTTTCATAATTTTTTTACTATTAGGGAGAGGGATCAACTTTATTAGTGTATGTAGCACGTGTTGCTTGAGGTATCTTTAGAGTAAATTTATACGTGATTGTACTAATCTGCGATACAAGAATGATTCAATTTTAAATAGGCTGGTTTTATAGGTGCATTACATAAAGTGCATATACTATAGAAAAGGTCATCTATAGTGAAAGGCAGTGCTATGGAACATTATTGAGTGATGCAGGCAATCATACTTTAATTACCAAACAGGACCTGGCATTTAAAGATAGCCATCATCACAGCATCAACAAATGTTACCCATGAATCAACTCTACGTGTATGTTTTAAAATGCCAGACATGATCAATTTAGCACATTAAGACTGTTTTGTATTGCAAAGCATCCGTTAAATATTTGTACACTTCTCCTTTATCGATGTCCTCCAAACCATGTTTGTGTTAAATGTATGACGAGTCTGTGATATAAAACACTTTTTTCCAGAATGCATTCTATTTTGCAGTTCATGACGGTATATTGTTTCCAGAAAACAGACAATTTACAAGAAAACAAGATCGATTGAAGGCCCAGCAGTCGAGGGTACATATACATGAAGTATCTGTTTTATTTCCTCTACACCATGTTGCTGTACATGGCAAATTATAAAATCTGAATGCGAAGAGAAGGGCATCTCGGTACAGGATTTCCAACAGGCCATAATTTCGAGAAACTATTGAGCGCCACATGACAGAAACTGCGTGTGCGCTACTACCATAACCTGGCAGAATTTTACATAGTCACACAGCTGGAACTCACTATCACACAACAGGGTCAAATGAACAAGTGTACTACAACCACTACTATTCAGCCTAGACGAAAACAAGCTGCTGAACCTCCCAACTAAGCCAGGAACTACTGTCTGTCACACGTCAACGAAAAATCCAGTGATGCAAAACATTTTGGCGATGTTAATAAAATGCACAACCAGACGGGGTATTAATTAATAAAGCATGCTGTTGTGTTCTGCTCCAAACTACCTTTCTTTTATCGAACCCAATCATTTCATACACACTGTACAAAAAGCACGAAACCTACGGTGTATCTCTTGACATATTTTACAGTGGCTACAAAAGCTATAATCAGCTACGTACATACAAAGTTTCCTGATCCTGACACGTTAACTCCTCTGAATTCATTATTTCATTGCATTGCCTTCAAATTGTCTTGTATTTCTAACTGCTCAAGAACTTTTCTCGGTACGTAATACGGGATGTATTTACTTCATGTCGTGGAAGGGTCTACAAAAATTTCAAGCCTAAATTTATTGTTGCTTTTATGCGATGACTTCGCCTCTATGGGGCCATTTGTTGCCGGCAGTGCATTTCCAAGAATTCAAAAAGCAAGTCAGCGGTGTCTTCGACCTCCATCATGCTAAAAGCAAATGTTAAAATATAAACTACATTATAAATAGTAAACAAGCCTTACATTATGAACAAGGATTCAGAAATATTGCCAACGTAGCTGCTTTGGACTATTTGAAAATAAACTTTTACAAAACTAAACAAATAACAACACCAGGCAGTAATAGGGCAACCACGGCACCCTGATTCCTATAGGACTTTCTGCAAATACTGCAGCTCTTGCTCTCACTTAAGCACCTCAATTTAGCTGTGGACAAAAAACCAGCTCCTGCTACAAACCTTAACGGTCGGAGTATTCTTGCAAAACAATACACCCTGTAAGCAGGTACGTAGGAAACGCAAGTTTAACTCCGGAAAATGTTACAAATTCTGGAATTTTCCCCACAAAAAAATTATAGTAATTTTCTCGTACAAGATGGCCATGTCCAGCTTTAGAGCACTAGTTGGTATGCACACTGGTGTCGACCATACGTGGTAATTGGGAATTCTGCATGAATGATGACTGAAGGAATACTTGCTCCGTTCTTGTCCATTCACGAAGGTGGCTGGTAACCTATGCTATAAACTCTGTACAGCTTGGACCTCGATAGCAAGTGGCTGATCATGAACAACATGCAAACTGCTGGGCACGGAGCAAATGCATTCCTCCCCCCTCCCCCTGCCGACTGTACTGGACACAACGCTAGAAGACAATGATTATGTTGTACACAATATTCCTTGCTCATTTTATGCTAGATGCAAGATGGCAAATTACAATAATTAACAATCTGCGCAAGGCTTGGATCAGTTGTCGCCTCCCTCGCCTCCTTCATCTCCCTCTCCAGCTGCATCAGATGTCCACAACTGCAAATAGACACAAACGAGACCATTAGCGACGACAACATTCACTTGCAATTTTAATGGTCAAACACATCGCCATTGACAGTGCTATTACAACAGCGAAGATAACCTACTGTCGACATGACAATGACACGCGTTGCCAGCTCTGAATGCAAGTAATTGGATTTATAAAAACAGATATGACACAGCTGTCAGGTACACGGTTAAATATCCGCACCACAGGTAAAATGCTAATTTGTAAAGATCTTTGTCACAGGATCGTTTGGTTTTCCAAGAAAGTTATCTTAAGTGATTTTGAGAAAATATGCTAGAAATACAAATACAACATTCAGAGCAAGATGATACGAAAATTTATGGCATGATTAACTTAAGTTCAGCTACATTGCCATAACTAAATACAACCTTCAGCGTATTAGCCACTGAAGATTAAAATACAGCAGCTAACACACACCAGATTTTCATTACCAATTACACGTAGCTAGCATACCTTCGGACACAATAATCCCAAACTTGAGCAACTGTAAAACTGCGTTTTTACATCTAACAGATGTACAGGTTTTACTAGCCCTGCCTTTGCAGAAATTATTTATTAAAACAGTAGATCTTTAAGTTAATCTTTTCAGGTAACTCTATTGCTATTCTTTGCAGGAACAGATAATGTGCGCTGGAGTGATACATAAGATAAAATTCCCTATTTGCTACTTTAAAATCTGGTTAATTAAATTTGGTTAATAAAGTGTACCAAACAAAATACAGTGGACCCCCGAGATACGAACATTCAATTTCCCCAGAGGCTCGACATTCAAATTTTTGAGATCGTTGAATGTAATGTATTCGACAAACGAATGTCTTACGAACCAGCCAATCAGTGCATGGGCCTAACGCGCGCTCTTTCGGTGAGTGAGTTTAAGTACATGACTGATTGAATGTGGTGTGCTATCATGATTGCACCTGCTGTACGTCATCCTATATAGGGTTCAACACACGCATTTTTCGAGATGCAAACAAATCTGTGGAACATGGAATGAAATTAGCCAAAATGTGAACAGGCCCACCCCAAAATTTAAACAAGCCCTTAGAAAAATTGAACAAGCCCTTAATTTTGTTCAATTTATTCCATTATTAATAAAAGTTATAGCTTTGTGTTTATTAGGCAGAGTCGTAGTATTTCAGTATTTCATTGCTATCAGTGGAGTTCTACTTGTTTGACAGGAATTGCTGGAACATGATTTACTTCTTAGTAGTCGCCAAGTGAATACTAGTCAGGAAATTGGTAAATATTATTGATATAAATGCAAGAAGGCAAAATTTTGAATAGGCCAAGTGGACTGATTATAGGGGGGGTGTAACCGGCGGCCGCCGGCAAAATAGCGCTGATTTTGCGCACTGGCGGAAGGAATTAAATTCGTATTTTGGGGGTCCACTGTATACCTCAAAAGGTTTTCAATAAAATTACAAACTGCACCTGTTCTGCATTTCCAAACTTACGCTCATTAAGGAGTAAGAACACTGAATATATGACATGTTTTTGTCAATCTGTCAATTTGTACATGTTGCAGATGCCCTGACAGGTTATCAAGAAACAAAACCTCAGGTGCAATTTCTAACTCCGTGACCTAGGGCTTAGTAGTTTTGGTCATTACAAAACCGATGCAAATACACTTTTCGTTGTTTATTGATTCAGCGATTCGATAAACCGCACAACAAAGTGTCTCTGAGCAAAGTTTAGGTGAACATGAGAGTTATACCTACAGCATTACTTTTAAATATAAAAAATATATGTAAAAGGTATATACTCAGAAAGAAATTACTCTCAGAAATCAGTGATGAAACTCAGTAAGCGTTTTTAAGTCTGCAAAATTGAGTAACTCCCACTAGTTTAGTCAGTCATCTCTAACTGTATACTGCTATACTGTGTATAATACCATCTTGTGATATATAGTTTATTCCATACTCTTTGAAATAATGTAATGAGCAACACCTTTGTTGCACCTTACCTAACATATGTCATTTTTACCAGCATCTGTTTTTCAACAAGTGCCGCGGAGCGACAGCGCTCATCTAACGTCTACTGCGGTGACTCTGTGGTGGAGTGGTGGGATTCTAGTAAACCCTGTTAGTCCCAAATGTGTTCGCATACACGCCGAAACAGTGGAAGGCACAGGGATGGTATCAGGAACCTTCTCAAAGGAATGTTCGTTGGGATCGTTGTGAAAAGTTGCCACGACATGGCGCGTACGTTTAAGTGTCTTCAGATTAAAGATGGAAGCTCCCATCGTACGTAGTAGTAACAACTATTTGCAAGACAGAATAGGTAAGCACACATCCATTTACCTACGCAAGCCTACGAGCTGAAATAGAGAGCTGCCACCTGTAACTAATTAACGCAGGCAAAAACTACACAGTACCACCACCACATGCACTGGCAGTGGCATACGTTACATGTAACACACTGACAGTACAGAATGCCATAGAAATTATATGATTTAAGGAGCAAAAACCTTCTTCAACCAAATTTAGCTTTTGAAATTTCACTGTGACATTGTAGCCTCATACATCCAGGCATGTATAGATTCTACTAGCGAACCCGGCAGTCAAATTCTTTCTAACAGTAAAGAAATCCATGTTTAACCCGCCTCTTGAGGGTCAAAAGGTTATCCGACACTTACTCTTCGCATGTCAGCAGAAATTACATTTCATGGTCCTTTCAATAAAGTCATAAAAATGCTAGGTCATCGCTGAAACAAAAAAGTTTTCCAATCGCTCATGTCCTTGTTGCAGACCATGTCCTCAGAAAATGTCTAAAATCTGCCCTGTGCCCCATTGACCCTTGACCTGTGACCTCCAATTTCGGCACAGTGATGGCTTTTCCTACCATGATGCTATACACCGACTATCACGAGCCTAGGTCGAGCCGTTTAGATTTGTGCCGCAATTCTGCATTTCCTCCCTATACCTTAAGTTAAGGAGGGAATGTTCCCCTTCATTTACACCTCTTGACCTTTGACCTTTGACCCCCAGCTTCGACATCCCAACTCGTTTTGACGATCCCCTCCCCCGACGTCCCGAATATCGTGACCGTACGTCAAGCGGTTAAGATTTGTGCCCAACTGTTGACGCACGGACGAACGCACGCTCATGCAATTCTACAAGCTGCATCTAACTATGTCAGATGAGCTAAAAATTCAATATCAAAAATATATGCCCTCTCAACATAGAAATGAGGAAAACTATTAATGGCTGTTCTTTCCAATGGATAAAGTCCCTATGATCTATGCACTCTAGCTACACATAATACATAAAATAGTACTTACTGTGAGGTTATCTCTGAGCAACTGCATGATAAGGGTACTGTCTTTGTAGGAGTCTTCGTTCAATGTGTCGAGCTCAGCGATTGCATCATCGAATGCCTGTAAACAAAGGAAAGGGTTATCATAACGAAGTAATGCCACATTAACCTGTAATTAATTTAATCTAATTATTAGATAAAAAATAATAGAAAAAAACAAAACCAATGCATCCCACACGAAATAGTTATCTAGAGCATTATGTGCGGAAATATTGTTTATATAGATTTCCGTAAGTATGCTGCCTTGGCAGCATTCAATATAGAGAATACAGCAACCAATAACTACCCAACTGAAACCTTACCCCAGCCAACACACACAGGATTTCTATAGAATATACGAACAATACATAACATACGCAAACCCATATATACAGAATTACACATTGTTCAAATTTTACCGATAACAGTGCTAATGGTGTGATCCCTTATACATATGCTAATGCTAAGGTATGACGTAAAGTAAAAAAAATTTATACAAGAAAACACAGTTCTTTTACATTAAAATCTTGTATATTTTTGTGTTAATTATGCTAGCCGCACACTATCCGATTTTGCGCTGTGCACAGCATAAACGCCCCGCACACTATCCGACCCGATCCCGATCAATCGGGAGGCCACCGCACACTGTCCGACTCAAAGTTGACGCAAACCATGGCACTCTCGTGGCGTTCCAAGCGGATTTAGCGTGTACTAAGCGTCGGGAGTGTTTACCATGGTTCGAATGCCATTCAATTCGAATGCGGTTCCCATGGCGCTGCTCTGTGATTGGTCAATTTTCTTCAGCGCTAGTCGATCGGGTCGGATGGCCACGCACACTATCCGAGTCGCGTCGTAAGCCCTCGCACACTATCCGACCCGATCTGCTCCCGATTCAAAATTCGAATCGGGTCAAAATGACCTCCAGAGCCAATCTTAAGCCTCCCGATCCAAACCAGAACATCTCAAACCAATCGTAAGCCTTCAAATCACGCTCGGGTCGGATAGTGTGCGGCTAGCATTACACATCTCCTAGCAATCCCTGCCCTTTTCTAGCTAAACAAGAGCCGCAGAGCAACTGGGCTCATCTGAGGTCTGGTGCTACGGTTATAAGTTAACATTTCAGTCGTGCGTAGTGACACCTTTGTTAGGCGCAGATATGCAGAGATACGCAGTTGCGTACACATCATTTCAGCAAACATTTTTTTTATTGCAGAGAGAGAGAGAGAGAGAGAGAGAGAGAGAGAGGAAGAGAGAGAGGGGGGCGAGGGGAGAGAGTCAGTCAGACTAAATTGTTTATAAACAAATTACACCCACGCGGCGCGCTACTGTATCAGTTACGTCATCGATTGAAATGTACATTGCGATTTCGCCGCGTGGCGTCCAAACTTTCGACGAAGATGGCGGGCAGAGGTAAGGCAGACGCACGTATAACGTACAGATTTATTCAATGTCGAGGATCAACACATTTCGACTGACAGGCAACCATCGGGCTCTGCAGCGTCCACAAGCCAGCATCCTCCACCATATCCCGACATTGCACACTACTGTAACGTCGACGGAGAAAGCCATGCCAAGGACAGTACAAAACTGGCAAATTTTCATTAGTAGGTTTGACGATTCATTTCTGCAATTACTTATCTCAAGATTGATTAAACTGAAGTTAAGAAAGTAATTATTTCTGCACTTTTGAGCGCAATATACATTTGACCTATCCTGCCGGGACAGTCTTCTCACTCTGTTCCGATAGATGGCGTGCATACTGACTATGTGCAAGGAATAGATAATCCGAACTAGTTGCTAAATTCGTTTAGCCCATGCTGTGATACTATCAGCCACCCACCTGACACGCAGCAGGGCCTGCATACCTACCAAATCCCATTCGTTGATACAAATCACGTGCCTGAAACTCCTGTTTTATGGTGCATTGTGACCCTAACCCTAACCCTATTAAAATATATATAAAAATTTAATTGTTGTAAATAAATCATGTAAATATTTGCATTAATTGGAAAAAATAGTTAAATGGATAAAAATAGAAAAATAAAGAAAACAGGAAAATAATTAAAAAACAGATGGGATTCGATCCAATGACCTGACCTTTCAGCCGTGATGCTCGTGCTCTACGCGGTCGGCGATTCAGACCTATTGGGTTTGTAGATTACTAGCTGGGCTACCCGGCGATGCCCGGGATTAAAGAGCTAGAATTTAGTCTGCTATCACAGCTGTACTGATCTTATTCGGATTTTATAAATCTGTCCCAAGAATGTCACTTCTGGTCAGTTTTGCAGCGCTATTCTTATTCTTGGTTTTGCCATCTTGAGAGAGGATGTGGAGGTTGTCTGGGTTACCCACCCTGGAGCACCCCACATAGAGCTGGCCATGGGAGAACACTGGCTCACTGAGGTTGAGTCCAACCACCTTGAGGGACTGGCCCTGGGCCTTGTTGATGGACATGGCAAAGCTCAGCTTGACTGGAAACTGCAGCCTCTTGAACTGAAATGGCAGGTCTGATGGGATGAGCGGGATCCTTGGGATGAAGACATTTTCGCCCTTGCCTGTCATGATTTTGGCTTCAATGACTGGGCATGAGCTGCTTCACTGTGAGCCTTGTGCCGTTGCAGAGCTTGGGAGCATCCAGGTTGCGCATTAGCAATATGGGCGCGCTGACCTTGAGCACCAAGTTGTGTGGTGGCAGACCTGAGGGCGCCAAGCTGTTGAGAAATTCGGTCGGATAGTGCATGACCTGATCAGGATCAGGAACTGTGTCCATCGACTTGTAGCTCGTTGGGTTGCCAGGCAGTTGCTCCAGCAGCTTGGCGTTGATGTCATCCATGGCCAAATTCTAGGGAGCAAGGATGGCTCGCTCGCTCAGCCAGTCTTGGTCTTGGTAGCGGAGGTAGAGGTTTGGGAAGACTTTGGTCCTCAGCTGGGTGATGTGCGCCGCTGCTTTGCCGAATGCCAGCTTGACTTGGCCATCAGCTGTGATGGTGAGTCTGCCATTGCCGACCGCCAGCAGTTGCTGAAAGAAGCGGCCAGCTTCTTCATCACCGCTGAGCTGCACCCTCATGTTAGTCTTCAAGCTGTGGCGGTTCACCTCGCTTAAGAGGTACGACGACTTGATGCAGGCATTGACAGCATCTGCTCTTGTTCCTTTGGCGATGATTGGCAAGGTTTGGTGAAAGTCGCCTAAGAGCAGGACAGTCACGCCTCCCATGACGTTTGTGTTGTGCCGAAAGTCTTGTAGGGTGTTGTCGAGTGCTTCAAATGCGCCTTTGTGGCTCATGGTTGCCTCGTCCCAGATGATGAGCTTGCACTCTTGGAACAGCTTGGTCTTTGTGGAGCCACGGCTGATGTTGCAGGTTGGATTTTCCCACTTTGCCAAGTTGAATGGCAGCTTGAAGGCCAAGTGAGCAGTGCACCCTCCGTCCAGCAGGGTGGCAGCAATGCCGCTTGAAGCAACTGCCAGGGCAATCTTCCTCGTCTGCCTGACCTTGGCCAGAAGAAGGTTGGTAACGAAGGTCTGGCCTGTTCTGCCAGGAGCGTCGAGGAAGAAGATGCCGCTTTGTTGTTTTTTTTATCAATTTTTTTGGTCAAATTTTTTTGGCCTAAAATGGTCGTCGCGTCATGCTGATTCAGAATATATATGGTGTTAGGGGTCACCTCTTACGGGTCTCGAGAAGATAGACGGACAGACAGACAGATCCAGTCATTTATGTAGGAGATGGATGTGCCATGAATATGACAATACTGTGACGTCATTGAGGCAGTTGAGGAATCCATGTTTAACCCTCCTCTTGAGGGTCAAAAGGTTATCAGACACTTACTCTTCGCACGTCAGTGGAAAGCACATTTCATGGTCCTTTCAATAAAGAGATAAAAATGGTAGGTCAGCACTGAAACAAACAAGTTTTTCACTCTGTCCATTAGGCCATGTCCTCAGAAAATGTCTAATATCTGACCTTTCCCCCACTGCCCTTTGACCTGTGACCTCCAATATCGCACTGGTGATGGGTTTCCTGCCCATCACACTATACACCAAATATTAAGAGCATAGGTCGAGCCGTTCAGATTTGTGCCGCAATTCCGTATTTCCTCCTATACCTTAAGTTAAGGGGGAAATATTCCCCCTCCGTTGACACATCTTGACCTTTGACCCCCAAATTGGTCATCCCGAGTCCTTTTCATGATCCCCCCCCCCCGACGTCCCAAATATCGTGACCGTACGTCGAGTGGTTAAGATTTGTGCCCAACTGTTGACGGACGCACGCTCATGCGAGTCTAAAAACCAAGGCACTTTGCCCCAAGGGAAACAGATACCACACCAGTTAAATTTTACCTAAATAAGTAAATTGGTATTATTGAAATATTAATAATCAATTAAATGGGTATAATTTCCTGGAGGATCACTATCCTGAAACCACACTGCTTTGAGAAAAAGTGCCGACAATTTGAAAGTATAGCTAGAAAGTTGTGGAGTTTCAATTATAATCAACATATATCACACACTAGCCAAGAAGTTCCAACAATTAAAATTAAAAATTGTTTTAAAAATTGGCTTCTTTCGCTACAAAATTCCCACGCTTGCATGTTTCAAAAACACTAATTCATATTCAACTGTACATAGCATAAAGCAGCAATTAATGTGAGATGCAAGGATTCCAGAATAAATGAGAAGTAACTGATGACAGCTTTGCATCTATACCATGTATATTTAGTAGACATTTTCGCTGATTTGGAAATTCGCATTGGATATTAAATATACACGACTTGCAAACATTTCAGAAGTGCATACCTCAGATTTCCAAACCACACCATTATTACACAAGAAATGTTTGCCCCCGTAAAGAACAAATATAACTTGTGATATGGGCGAACAGAATTTTACATCTGCTGCCCATCCCTGCAAGGCGACCCCTGCTAGTTCTCATGCCAAACGCACATGAGTCACCGTGTCTAATTATATTTCTCCAGTGCAGCCACTGTGCACTGAGCCCAAGCTACAGTACTGCTGAGCATCAGCACATCAATCAATATGGGGCCAAGATGCAGTGGCTGCATGCTGCACTCGAGCCACTCTGGCATGCCAGTCTGGCCAATAAACGCAGCCTGCTTAGTGTAACATTGCGTCTACTAATCTCCAACAGTCAAAAGTCTACTATGCGCGCGCGTAGTATTCGATGAATAATGCGTGGACTGACGTCAGCCGACATGTATGCAGAGTGATTACTGACGTCTACACAGAGTAACCCATGCAATAATATACCATCAGCCATTATTATGCACGTGTTGCACATGAAGGCTTTACTTTCACCTGCCGCTAAGTGGCTATATTGGTACGTGCACATTACAAGCTAGCTGTCATCAAGGATTTGGCAACCAGAGAATATCATCAGGGAAGACACCTTTATGCTCCCCATTGCATAAATGACCAGTGTATGTGCTGTAACTGCTATAGCATTAACCCAATGTTTTATTGTTGCATCTAAACTATACTGCAGAGTTTCTTTTCAACTGCTTTAGTAGAAAGTTGAGGTACAATAATGACACCCCCATCACATATGATAGCAACAACTATAACCTATATTTGTCTCATGCACATGGTAAAGATTTGATATGGATACTAAAACTATCTGAATTTTAATGCACTTACCTGCTTTGCCAAGTGGCAGGCACGTTCTGGCGCATTCAAAATTTCATAGTAAAATACTGAGAAGTTGAGTGCCAAGCCCAACCGGATTGGATGTGTTGGCTGCATCAATTTTTTGGCAATATCAAATGCATCTTGGTATGCTTTCTGTGAATCTTCTATAATACCTATAAGTGACAATGTAAATTGACCTCAATCTCATATTTTTAACCAACTGGTGTTAGGTCAATGGTTATGCTACAACGAAAACACTTATCTTAGAAACTTAAAAGTTTATATTGAAAACATTGTTTTGTGAAATAGAGCAAGCATTTTTTTAAATCACTTTGCAGACACTTTCAACATTATGTACCAAATCAAGGACTCACGCAGCATTTTGTATAAAGTTAATTTTTCTGTTATCTGTCATGCACATAAAATGTAAATAAATTCAATATAAACATTATGCTACTTCTACTAAGGTACAGCACTGTACAGAGATGGCAGCAGTGTTTAACTCAAATACTACTTACTCGTTCTTGAATCCCCTGTGGCTACTTCTGCTAGATACCTGTAGTAATCACCCTTCATCTTAAGGTAGAACACTTTACTTTCTGCATTACTGGCTTTTGAAATCAAGTATTGGTCTAGCAAATTCTGAAACGAAAGAATGTGTACAGCTTGTAAAAATATGTATGAGAATTATTAAAGGAATAAAGTCAAGCATGCGATTTGCTTAATAACGTACACATCGTTGCTGCACATAACATTTCCAACTTTTATTATTAAATTGCTATCATCTTTGGCTGTCGGTTCAACCCTCCATATAGTCAGTATACTTGGCCTATTCAAAATTTTGCCTATCTTGCCCATATATCAACAATATTTCCTGATTAGTTTTTACTTAATGACTGCTAAAAGCAAATTATGTTCCAGCAATTCCTGTCAAACAAGTAGAACTCCACTGACAGACTGATAGCAATGAAATACTGAAATACAAGTATGCCTAATAAGCTAATAAACACAAAGCTAATTAATACTTTAATTAATAATGGAATAAATTGAACAAAATAAAGGGCCTGTTTAAAATTTTGGGTGGGCCTGTTCACATTTAGGCTAATTTAATGCCCTGCTAGCACGCATGCTTTTGCACAGCTAGCTGCTCTGGGCGGGGTGTTTTCTGTTTAAGTGTGCGAGCAGTTCCCGAATCCGACCTATACTGCCATAGCACATCGATCACGAATTGAAACTGTTTTAAAATAATCTGCAGCCAAATTATTGATGCTATGATATACTACAACGGCAACTCACATACAGCACATCTGACTTATGCTGTACATCAGCAGACGGGCTATCTATGGGTAGCCACGCACATTGTAGTAATATGACACCAGTCAACTGAGTACAGCAGCTGCAGAGAGCTAGACCAGGATTGCTTCATTGGCATGTCTGATCTTGGCTACCGAGCGATTCCATGCACAAGCTGAACGTAGTTTTATGATTACTCACTAATAAATTGATCTACATGAACTCACATTGACTTCTGCACACTGACTACCACCTTGGTGTCTGCTGAAGGATATTAAATATGAAACGATTTATGCACTGTTCAGTCATCAAGTTAACTATTTGAGGACATAATAAAAATATTATTTGTTTGCCCTCACCCGACCGACCCGTCAAAAAGGCACCCCCCCCCCCAGCTCGAAACATTTTAGTGATATTATTTTTTTATAAATTGTATCACTGTACATTATATAAATCTGTAGGCAATACATTATATGTACCAAGCAAAACAAACATTCTGATTCAACATAAAAGGTATCTCCACACAAGCACACCCGAGCATGTAGATACACCATGCTGAATTTGTAAAAATACCCCCTCAAAAAAAGTCTACCTACCTACCCAAACTTTTCAGCCTGGGTCGGGTGAAGGCAAACAAATATTTTTTTTATTGTGGCCTGAGTAAAGGTACTGGCTTACATAATTAATTTGCTTATAAACTCATGTACATGTATGCATATTAAAAAAAAAAACTAGCATAACTGTTCTCAAATTAAATAAATTTTAATTTTGCTTTACTGATTAAACTAGTGTTAAACAATTGAGACAAACAATTTTACTTTGGCCAGAAACCTGTGTTAAATTTGACATAAACTAAACCAAGAAACCCTACTAAACTCCACAATATTAGTTTTTTAGGAACATTCCTTTTGCAGAAAATTATAATATACTGTCATAATATCCCTAATTGCAACTGCAATATACGACAGCTACGAAAGCTATTTTAATCTTGTTATACAATATCATGTTTGAACTGTATAGGTTACATTATATTTGTGTTCTGATTAATAGAGTTTATAGAGTAATATTAGTTAATTATTCAAGTGGATAAACTAAGTCAGAAATTTGTGATCCAAGTATAACTCAGTCATCAGACTCATCACTCTTGGATGGATAATGACACTCAGCACCACAAAAAATGCAGTTCTTCTGAATTACATAGGCATTAAAGCAGATATTTATATAAAATAACATTGTTTTAGTGTTACAAATCTGCTCTGTGGGGGATTTCAAACAGTTTGCATCACTGGAGATTTGCTAAATGGTAAACATTAGATTTGTAGGAATATTTCCAATATTTCCATTAATTATTAATTGATCAATGAATCACTGAATGTGAACAACCGATGCCCGATCATGAAATTTTGACAATTCTTGAGACTACTTTCTGTCTCTGCATTAAAACCTTATTTGACATTCATAATTACCCATGCTACATCTAATGGAATGTAACATAAGGAGTCCTGCCATCCCGTACTGATGTGACATAATACACAAGTGTACTTATATGCACTTTGACATGGGGCTGGCCATGAGATAGTCCAATAACCTCCTTATATATATGCGTATGCTTATATTTCCTTATACGCAATGCATTGCTTAATTTATCACTGCAAACAAGAAGGCAACGGGGCCAAAGGTGTGCAAGTCCCTTTGCTTTTCCATATGTGCATGACACTGGCACTACCACGTGAATCCAAAGGAATTAACTAGGATTTCACTAGTGGGTATGACGTATTAAGAAACCAATGAAACACACCAGACGACTGGAGAGTTATCAGCATGCCGTTGCATATGATAAACCGATGGTCTATACTAGCACGTGGAATTAAAACGCGCGATTAATACATGCAACAGCAAAACCATGCAGACGAATAATAACACTGAGCTTATGTCCTGCTTACCAGCACATCGTAACAGATATCCCGTAATTCTTTTTCCACCTTTTCTCTGTATTCTCTGGCCATCTGTTGTTTCTTCTCACTTCCTTCTGTTTTCTGTTCGATACTTGATATTACCCTCCACGAACTTCGCCTTGCCCCGACGACATTTTTGTAAGCTACAGACAGCAAGTTCCTCTCTTCGTTGCTGAGCTCCACGCCTGTTTCTGTTACTGATTTCATTGCTGCTGCCATGTCGTCGTACCTTTCGGCCTGCTCGGCCAGCTTGGCCCTTTGCACCAACTCGTCCTTATCCATTTTCTGAATCTGAAAATTTGAACTAAACCCTCAATTTAGCTGAAATCAGCGTTCTGTACAAATTTCCAGGCTCTCGCAAAAATGGCGGACGGCAGGGACCGTTTTACTCATGTGAACCGGTCGAAATTAATGCGCGATCTCAAATTACCCGCAAATAGACCTACTGGATTAAACTATCTAATTTGACAAAATCGAAGCTAATAAATACTTACTATCACGTGTATTGTGTGTTTCTTAGTCAATATTAGATTCTCGCAACGCACGAATTATTTTCAATCAGGCAAAATAGTTCCCTTCAAGTAGTTCCGCTTGGGGATTCCAGAAGCTGCAGGGTCCTCACTTCTTTAGACAAGGTAAGTGACGTCACTGTCGCCAAGGAAAAATATATCGATAAACTGATAAACGGTAGCAGATACTGGAATTTTATCGACCGGGCCTTTCAAACACTTAACCAATGTTAACTTAACTAGTGTTCGCTTTCAGGCAGCACCGAGCATCGCCAGCTCCAAGCATAAAGAGTAGAGTGCTGTTATCGGGCGTGGCCTAATTTTGCCCCTCCGCGCACGTGACGTCATTTCCGATTTGGCGACGTTTGTACCGGAAACTCAATGAGAGCGCATAGCACGTGTTGGTATCAATTATCATTAGTCCATTACCATTAGGCATTACCTCACCAGGATTCTTTGGTGAAGTGCAGTAGAGATAGTGTACGAAATCTAGAAGTCGTAATTAAGATGCCGAAATCGAAAAGAGACAAAAAAAGTAAGTAAATCTGTTTAAAGTTAAACGTGAAGAAAATTTAGGTCATCAAAGCGATGCATGATTCATTGATTGATGACCTGTGCTGTAGTGTAGACGTGTGTAGTGTAGCCTAGGCTGTAGCCAGTGCACTGTGTAGGCTGTACGTAGGCTGTACTATAGACACAATAATGTAACCCAACAAGAGTAGGGTTACAACGCGAGCCTATTCTTTTCTTTGGAGGAGCCCCTGAATGATTCACTCAGAGCGGTTTTATGGTGCGTTTTTCGGCCCAAGGATAGAGAACATGGGTCCCAATAAAACCAATGTGCTTAACCCTAACCCTAATTCTAACCCTAACCCTAACCCTAACCAGGCATAACCCTAACCTATTATATTGATATAATATTATATTTATATTGATGTAAATGACATTGGTTTTATTGGGACCCATGTTCTCTATCCTTGAACCCGTTTTTCGAGACTTGAACTTCTAAACTGCATGGGTTTATTCTAAACAAACACGAACCTTTCTCCGCTATCCTGGGACTTAATTACTACTGGTATGTATCACAATACTTTGTAACCAGAGAGACTGGGTACAAGATGGCGTTGCGCAAAAGATGCGTTGTTCCCCGACCGCCGAGAGCGGTTAAGCTGTGAACTTTCGCGGGACTGGGCGCACGCGACTGTGGGGTGTTGTATGTAGCATCTCGCGCTGCCCGCTATACGAATTCGCGCGCCGAAGGAGGGCGGGCGTGCGAATCCGTATAGCGGGAAGCGTAACATCGCGCAGTTTTCATCAGACGTACACCGGCTTGACTACGGCAGCCTTGGGGGGAGGGGCAGCAGGGGCCAGTATACGTAGGATTAGCTACGTGTAAATACTGGCACGGCCACGCCGCAAAAAATTAATATGGGTCGTTTGGAGATGGCCTCTAGCCGTCGATGGCGAAATGTCAGTTGGATTGCGCCCAGTTTTCGCGGAGTTCGTTTTTAGACCCCTGGCTCAGATATCGCTGCGCGCAATAACGGGGGCCGCATGTCCGTCTAGTAATATAACCTGTTAAAAAATTACGAAATGAAGAGCGGCGTTATTTCGAGCGCCATTTCTGTGGACCTGTGAGGTACGCATTCTCCATGCGCATAGCATTCGGCTACCTTCGGCTCCTGTGTTGCCTGACATGCTGGCTCTGATGACGTCATGACTGACAGCAGGCATCCCATGATGCATTCGATCTTGGAGCCGAAGTTAGCCGAACGCTATACGCATTGAGAATGCGTACGTCACAGGTCAACAGAAATGGCGCTCAAAATCACTGGCAGCAAGAACAAGTCGGCACCTGCAGCTACAGCACACACGCGGCCATTGACTATATATAACAACATGGTGCTTAACTCGTCGCCGCACAGACCACAACTCACCATTTTCAATCAGTTACAACTCTGGTGTTCCTGCAGGTAACGCCACTTTCCAACTATCGTTGGAATCGCGCATTTTTGACAATCGGCCTGCCAGAATGTGCTCAAATCACAGACATTCCTCAAATATACATGCGAAATGGTCCTTCGGATGCTACTAGGCAAGAAGGCGGCTGCGCCCAACCGCTGGCGGCTGCGCTGATTGGCTGCAGCAAGTTCACGTGCACCACCACTTCGCCCAGTAATAGACGAACCCGCATCCCGCTAGGCAATACAGATCGACGAGCGTACAGCGAGAGAGAGGGTTCGTCTAACATGACTCACTCGCGATGTCAACAAACGTAGTTACGCAGCCTGTCTGCACGTTAAACTTGCTGCAGCCAATCAGCGCAGCCGCCAGCGGTTGGGCGCAGCCGGCTTTTTGCCTAGTAGCATCCGAAGGATCATTTCGCATGTATATTTGAGGAATTTCCCTGATTTGAGCGCATTCTGGTGGGCCGATTGTCAAAAATGGCGGGTGTAGCTTGTTCAGCAGTCTTCCGCGATTCCAACGATACTTGGAAAGTGGCGTCACCTGCAGGAACACCGGAGTTGTAACTGATTGAAAACGGTGAGTTGTGGTTCGTGCGGCGGCGAGTTAGGCACCATGTTGTTATCAGGGTTCTCCCTACGTTGCGCAAACGGGGCGCGCGCGCCCCGTTTGGGAAAACTCCCCCCTGTTTGAATCGTTGCGCCCCGTTTGGGAAAACTCCCCCCTGTTTGAATCGTTGCGCCCCGTTTAAAATTCACGGAGGTGTCACAATAAACCGTTTGCCAGCGCGGGAATCGAGCCGTCAGAATTCCGTTCGACGAGGACACACGCACCGTGATTTTTAGCCTGTACCGACGCATGCCTGAAGACATCACAAGTTAACTTGAACATGCACAGTTAACCTTGAACTAACTGTAACACTCGACTGCGGCTATCTATATATGCAGAACCCAACATACCGTCTATGGTGGGTGGCGATTTTACGCATTAATTAGGTCGTCACGGTAAAAAACCCCCGCCGGACCCCCCTAATTTCCCACCCTCCCCCCTCCCCCTAGTTCTCCCCTTCCCCTCCTCCTCCCTTCCCCCCCTACACCTCCCTTCCCCCCTGTTTGAATTTCATCCTGGGGAGAACCCTGGTTATATATAGTTAATGGCCGCGTGTGTGCTGTAGCTGCAGGTGCCGACTTGTTCTTGCTGCCAGTGCTCGAAATATCGCCGCTCATCACTTCAAAATTTTGTAACAGTATTATTAGTTTAATACAGAGTTTTGTGATTAAAACTAGTTTGTTTTATATTAGCAAGGTAGGACAGCTGATCAATAATACCGCAAAGAATCGTCAAAATAAAACGGGCAAAGTTTCTTAATTCGACTAATACTGCAACATGTACCGCGTTCAAACGGTAATGGTTTGGCTCGAGCTAAATGGGCTCAATTTTGCTCGGGCCGGTTTGAGTCGGAGCGTTCACACGTACGCAAGTGAATACTGTCTGTCAAATTCAAATTCAAATTCAAATAAATTTTATTGCACAAATATCTCACAGATACTTTGGCAGTATGTTGCAAGATGGCGTTGTGTACGCAATTATCAATCTCGAATTTTTATAATGTTTTGGACTTTATTTTGTCGAAGTACACGTTCGACACTCGCGGCATCTACCGCTCTACCGATTTAGCTGGTGTTAAAATTTGGCTCGGGCCTGGTCAGACGTTTTCGATGGGACCAAATTGGCTCGTGCTAACTCGGCACGGCCCCGAAAAACCGTCCGTGTTAACGCTCGGCTCGAGCCAAATTTGGCGCGGGCCTAATTAGGCTCCAGGGCTAAAAAGGTCCATGTGAACGCGCCTATGGTTTCAGCATTTCACCGTTGCATGCTCGCCTTCTTAATACGCTCTTGATATAATCATAGTATTTGTAATACAGTGAGTACTATACTAATATATAATTATTTTTCTTGCAGTTTCTTTAACACAAGTAAAAAAGAAACCAAAGGGACGCCAGAATCTTGTTGAGGAGGTGAGATTATAGTACATTGGGGGTGTTAAGCGTATATAAGTTGTGTAGTTTTAATAGTAATTAATGCATATCTAGAGTTTGCTCCAATCGATAGATGTCATGTATTTCTAATACCTACTTCTCCATCTTCTGTTTGCTGGCCATCTTTCCCATATTAGCAGTACGATGAGAGCATGAGAGAGGGTAACTTGAAAAAAATTGGACATCATAAACTATCACATCGTTCCTATTGTAAACCTTCCCAATTACCCTTGGAGACTCCCATATTATTGTACGTGGCTGAAAACATGGGTAACACTGCTTTGCTAATCGCAATGTGTTCAGGTATGTAGCAGTGCGAGCAGCCTTTTAAATAAATTATCATCAATAGTTTTTAAAATATATTCAAAAAGTGTTTCGTGTGAATATTAAACAATCAAATGTTGTATGTAACCGTTTTCATACTTAATTTAATTGAAAACATGTTTATTTTATAACTAAGTCAACTTTTATCTTTAGAGCAGGTTTTTGTATCAATGGGACATAGAAAAAAACATCAGTGTGAATAAGTTATTTTAACAAATATCTCCATATTGTAAATGTAATGGGGTTATGGTTTTAGTACTGATGAAAATTTCCATTTTTGGCAGGTGCAAAAATGTGTTGACAGCTATGCCAGAGTATTTGTTTTCTCAGTGAAAGACATGAGAAACAAATACCTGAAAGACCTTAGGGAAGATTGGAATCACAGCAGGTAGGTGTTGTTGGTATAAGAAAAATAACTATATTGCATTCTCACTAAATAACTACAGATAATATTTGGTTGTCATGCTGTTTGCTCCGCACAGCAGAACATTATAGGACCGTGCCATTAATACAGATTGTGCAGAATACGTATAAAAAAGCTAAGCATATTTGATGCAATGCAAACATTGGTCTGAAAATGAAAATAGCACCATTCAATAGTATGTATAGGATGATAATAAAATTGTGTGATCATAGTGTATTCATTGTAGTTACCTGTTGATTGTGTGCTTTGTGTATCTCTTTTTTAATACCTTCTCAGATTTTTCTTGGGGAAAAACCGAGTAGTTGCGTTTGCTCTTGGTAAGACAGAAGAGAAAGCGTATCGTCCTAATCTTCATAAGATAGCGGAACGTCTCAAAGGACAGCGTGGTCTGCTTTTTACAAATGAGCCAAAGGAGGCTGTCCTTCAGTAGGTTTGAGTTCTAAATTCCTTCAAACCTTCATCCCCCTAATTGAAGGCTGTCATAAATTTTGTATACACACTATCAATTCATGGATGTCATATAAAAAAAATTCCCAAAAATATCACATTTGGCACAAGCAAGTGTTGTGGATTGATGAATGTAGTTTACAAAATGTTAACAAACTGCCATGTCCATTCGTTTAAAATTTACTTGGGTGTGTGCAGACAGCAGCAAAGTAAATTTCTGTGGTTGTAAATTGGGTGATACAATTTTAGGACAAATGTGCTTTTTGGTGTAAAACACATTATACATGGGTGTAATTATTCTAAAGTACATATTACATAAGCATTTAATGCAGTAAATGTAATTCTGTTTTAGGTATTTCAATGATTTCCTACAGCCAGACTATGCTAGGACAGGCAACGTTGCGACACGAACAGTGATATTAGAAAGTGGGCCTTTAGAATTTCCACACTCAATGGAATCACAGTTAAGACAACTGGGCCTACCTACACGACTTGAGAAAGGTAAATTTTATCAGTTTGGTTGCTGTAATTTTGATCTGAAAACACTAAAATTTAAATTCATTCCTTATTTTATAGCAAATTCATAGGAATTCATAGAATCTAATATATTAGTATAACCGATATAAAAGTTATCTGTTTTTATCTGAATTAGTTACTTAAATTGATCATTATTATTATTTGTACTGCTGGCACAGTACGGCATAATCACCTTTTAAAAAATAATTTCAGGTGTCGTGACTCTCGCTTCTGAATATACAGTCTGCAAAAAGGGAGTTGCACTGACAGCAGAACAAGCAAGAATATTGGTGTGTCTAGTGTGGGAAATAGTTCATGTAACTGGTTGGGAACATTGAGTGGTTGATGCCCTTTGACATCTTTGTGGTAATGCCATTGGGCAACCATCTTAAGGTTCATCTTGACCCTTGACACTTCATTCCATAATTTTTAGCTCATCTGCCGTAGTCCGATGCAGCTTGTAGAATCGCATGATCGTGCGTGCGTCCGTGCGTCCGTCAACAGTTGGGCACAAATCTTAACCGCTCGACGTACGGTCACGATATTTGGGACGTCGGGGGGAGATCGTGAAAAGGACTCAGGATGACAAATTTGGGGGTCATGGGTCAAAGGTCAAGACGTGTAAACGGAGGGAATATTTCTCCCTTAACTTAAGGTATAGGAGGAAATACGGAATTGCGGCACAAATCTTAACGGCTCGACCTATGCTCTTAATATTCGGTGTATATTGTGATGGGCAGGGAACCCATCACCAGTGCAAAATTGGAGGTCACAGGTCAAAGGGCAGTGGGGGAAAGGTCAGATATCAGACATTTTCTGAGGACATGGCCTAATGGACAGAGTGAAAAACTTTTTTGTTTCAGCGCTGACCTACCATTTTTATCACTTTATTGAAAATTTTATTGAAAGGACCATGAAATGTGCTTTCCACTGACGTGCGAAGAGTAAGTGTCTGATAACCTTTTGACCCTCAAGAGGAGGGTTAAACATGGATTCCTCAACTGCCTCAATGATGTCACAATGTTCTCATATTCATGGCACATCCATAATCTAGAAAGCCTCTCAGCCTGGATAGCCGACGCCGCAGGCGTCATGGCTCAAAGGTTGTTGGATTGAATCTCATCAGATTTTTTATTATTTACCTGTTTTCTGTATTTTTCTATCTTTATCCATTTAACTATTTTTTTTCCAATTAACGCAAATATTTACATGATTTATTTACAACAATTTAATAACAACAAATAACTTTTACAACAATTAATTTTTTATATTTTTAATAGGGTTAGGGTTAGGGTCACAATGCACCATAAAACAGGAGTTTCAGGCACGCGATTTGTATCAACCAATGGGATTTTGGAGGTATGCAGAATGCAGAAGGTTGCTGAAATGATGTGTACGCAACTGCGTATCTGCATATCTGCACCTAACAAAGGTGTCACTACGCACGACTTAAATGTTACGTTTATAACCGTTGCAACAGACCTCAGATGAGCCCAGACGCTCTGCAGTTCTTGTTCTTTCTTTTGCTCATTGTTAAGTGCTACGTACGTGAATGAGAATGACATAATTCATTTACCTAAATATTTGCACAAGTAATCGTTGTTGAGTTGATGTCATTGCTAGTTGGTTTCGTTCTTTACTTGATATGTCTAAAGTCTTATTGTTTGCATTTGATCAGTTTAGCTTCAATAAGTTCTCATTCAGTCTAACTTCAATCAGTTAACATTAATCAGTTCAACCTCATTATTAGTTAAAACAAAATGTATGTCTTGAAACGCTTTTAATACGTGTCCTCATTATTTCAGAAACTATTTGGAGAACAACTAGCAAACTTCATGCTTCCCATAGATTGTATGTGGTCCAACAATGGCAAATTTGAAAGCTTTGCAAAGGTGTTGGATAATGAAATGGAAGCCGGCTCTGAGGGTGAAGACTCCGACACCTAATAGCGAGGGTGATGTTAGTTTGACCAAACTGACTTCTGTTAGGCTGAGAATGTGAAAGGGGAAAATTGGATGTGACTACTGTCAAGCATCACCCAAAATGTGGAGGCTTTGTGTTGGTTTCCCACAGTTTCGGCGAGCACTGATGGCATACTCAACACGGCTATTAACAACTGCAGTTTGTTCAGCGTCATGTAACATCAGGAAAATTGCAAACAAGTGTAATCATCATGACTCTGTGAAAGGCTGAATGTATGTACATGATATAGGTAAATTTGGTGGCACTAGAGCAAGAAGTGTGTTGTGCCGTGCAGAGTATTGGTAATCTCACCATTAAACCTATAAATACTATTCCATTTGCAAATTAATTGTCGCTATAATCAAATATACCATGGTTTTACGGTGTGATCAATTTCATTTTTCTCTGCCATAACAATAAATTCGAAGTGTTTTTCAAGTTGGTGTAATCAGTAACATATCTAGCTGCTATATTTCATCATGTTTTGCCTGATTTTCTGTTTTTAAGCAATGATTTCGAAATAAATTCTTTAAGAAATAGCTGTCTATATTAAAGGGTTTATTGCGAAATCATTGCTCCAAAATGCACAATCCAAAAACATATAGCTAAATATAGTCTCACCTCATAGCGAATATATTACTGATTACACCAACTTGAATAACTAAGAATTTATGCTGTTATAGCATAGAAAAATGGAATTGCAAACGCTGTAACACCATGCCATGGCATATTTGATTATAGTGACAATGAATTTGCAAATGGTGCTTTAGTTTACCGACAAGGTACCAGTGCTTCCATGGTGCACACCGAGGACCTGTTTAGCAACGAGCATGCTGGCTGGCACGTCTATATGTTTGGAAAGAGGGTTTCTATTTGGCAGTGTTGTTATTTACACTTACATGTAATGCCACCTAAAGTAACAGTTATTCTATTTCTGGGCAATTTGCGTATATGATGGCCTTATTCTAATTTCGTCATCTGGCTAAATACACACAATTGTACGGTGACTAACGTGGTAGCAAGTGAGAGGTTGAAATTCACGTCTGGTTGCGAGTATATGCCGTGAGCATCGTGTATTTTCATGCGATAATTTGATACAGCCGTTTATGAACGTGACTATATCTGTCTGAAGTAATCCTAGCAATGCTACCTGAGCACAGTGAGTGTTGCCATGACAACTAATGCATTGCAGCACATACACACAGGTGCGTTTGCGTGTGCGTAACATGTACATGTTACAGATATGCCCATGTGTAAAGGTTCATTATATATTAGTGTTTTTAAAACTGTTGTAAATAAAATGACAGCATCGATTGACAACAAACAATTGAGTTTTAGCTCGTTTGTTCTGTTCACTGTTGCAATGCGACAGCTACACCTAGACGGTGCGTGCGTGTGACCTTGCATTTGTCATAGAGATTTCGTTGTGTTAGGTTACAGAATAGGCTGGAGTATAATGTGCGCCTGCTCATCGGTTGTGCATGGTGCAGTGACACGTGTGGTCACATAGCGTGACGAATGCTCTCTTGTCACTGACCTGTGTTTATTGATTCATCAGTGCGGGTGGATAAGGTAATATATATATATATATATACAGGTGCTGGTATACCGGTGTTTCTGAGTACATGATCAACGCGTGATTAGTAATACGAACTCGATCATAGTCTACTCGATCGTTATCAAACTCGCGTGCACGGACACACAGTCGCATGCTCCCACGCCCTATCGTACAGTTACGGCGCATTGTACTACACTGCAATTGGACAAGAAATGGATCACATAATAGTAGGGAGTATTGCGTAGAAACGGCATTCTCGCCTGGAGCGCATGTAGTACGTAACGGAAAGTTGGCAGCTAATGGTGTCGGATGTGGCTACACCCGTACGTCTATATTATATAGAGATGCCATTGTCCTCGTAGAACCTTGTGGGAATTACGTAGAGAGAGAGAGGGAGGGAGAAAGAGAGAGATATTACCTTGTATATAACCTTGCTTTATTTATTTATTATATTATTTCTTATATATTCCTGGGTAATTTATCCTATTATAGATATATTGTATATCTATATTATGTTACCCCCGTAGTGTGACCTTGATTTCTCAGACGTACAAGTTTGAAGTACAGCCGGGAATACGCGCAGCGACAGACGCGGTCGATACGGTACTGCTTGGAGTTATTTTCGTGGATATAATATATAATATATATATACTAGGTGGGGTATTATATCCGGCGTTGCTTGGGGGAAAGGTTTAGTACCAACTTCCATAGTAGAGCAAATTCTCATATATGCATATTGTTAAAGGCCTTGATGCCTGATTGATAGTCATTGCTGAGTCTAACTGGAAATTGGAGGTGCTTGAATTGAAAGCGAGGTTTGTTGGAATGATCCTTAGGATAAACACATACTTCTTATTGCCAACCCCAGACATAAATTATTGCCTCGGTGAATTGAGGAAGAAGTTGCTTTACAGCCAGGCGTGTTCCGTTTGAGAGCTTTCGTGGATCAAGATTACAGGTTATTGATTATTATGGACAATAGTCTGGTTTAATACCCGTAAAATGGAATATCCAAGAAGTTTCCAGAAAGTTACATTGCGCTATATAGGGAAGGTAGAGTACGTTTCTAGGTCTGTGCCATATGAAATGTGAAGGAGAGTTCTAAAAAGTTTTATTGCGCAGTGAGAAATGTTCAAAAAGGCTCTACAAACTTCCATTGTGTAATAATGAAAAGTGACCTATAGCGACCTTACATGACCTCGGAGATCAGATTTGATCTCATCCGCCCATGCAACCGTTTGTGGGGTCGAGGAATTTTGTGTACTTCATAACAAAGTCCGCATCTCGCTTAGTTTGGCCAGAAATTAAAATATCTTTAAAGTTATTATTGAAATATGTTGTCCTGCCGTGATATCCTATGAGCTTCAGTGACCTCGAGGTCGGATCTGACCGTCTCTCTATCTGGCTGCTCTATCTTAACCCACAAATGACTGCTTTTGGCCTCCGATAACCTCCTGTGACCTCTAGTGACCTCTGAAGTCAACGGCACCTATCCAATGACACCCCCGGGTCAAGTTACCCCTAGGCACCAACCGTTTGGTCGCCTATAGCCGGACACGACAACAGACGAACAGACAAACAATCACCAGAAATGTTAGTACGTGCGTGTGTGTGCGTGCGTGCGTGCGTGCGTGTGTGTGTGTGCGCGCGCGTGCGTGTGTGCGCGTTTGTGTGTGCATGCGTGCTTTTCTGTGTGTGTGCGTGCGCGTGCGTTAACTAACGTTATTCGAAAATCCTCGTCGAAAATCCTAATCATACATTATAGTAAAAATGATATTAATGATCTTGCTTCCAAGGTCATTCCTACATCGGTTATTTTGTCAAGCACGGAATTTTCGGAGTTCATCTTAAATAATGAGCTTTCATTAATTCTCTCACGTGCGAGACAATAATATACGAATATAATTTCAACGATTCAGTAATAGTCTGTTATGTTAGAATTTCTGTCACTGTAATTCTGTAGGCCTACAATAGAAAGAAATGTGGCCTGTGGCCATTCTCGATTATAGTATATAAACTTACTACTATTACACCTATTACAATTTAAACAATTCAATAATAGTCTGTTATTTTAGAATTCTGTACAATGGTAAGAAACGTGGTCTGTGCTTGTGCTGGAATCACCCCCTCCCCTCCCGCCTACCCACACACACGTACTCATATATGAGTGGGCAATAGTGGATGCGATCTTACTGCGACACGAATCTACGTTTCCTCGTCGATTTCTAATCGGTAGCAATAAATTCACATGTGTTTGTTGACTTCTCGTTCTTTTCAGCTCGATGAACGCTCCGGTTTCAACGGAGCCGATATTCTGCTTCGAACACTGCCAGAAAGGCCGCAAAATCTACGCCTTGCAAATTCCAGGAGAGTGTCCTCTGTGCGGTGTGCTACTGGCAAGCTCTGAGCTTATCCTCCCTCCTTTCCGCGTGCCTTCCCCCTTCTCACGTTCACCCCACAGCTTAGTGATCCGGCCGACGATAGGGTCGTTCCTCAGGTATGTGCGTGGTCAATACATAGGGCAGTGTGTATAGTAAGCACGGGAAGGTCTATATATCATCATACTATGAACATAGTATCTATACAATCAGGAGTAAACATGCAGAGACAAACGGGTTTGCGCATATTCACTCCTGATATTCTTATCTATTTTACATAGAGTTACATTAGATTGTATCGCATTACATATTTATTAAACTACTATTTGTTTTTATTCGTTACCATACGATTTCATTTATATCTTATTATATATTTTCTATTAATTATATATAATTATGTTATATGATTAACAACATTGTATACATAATTTTGTGCATATATATGTTCATAGCCTGGGCATCTGTGTACATACGGTACATGCGGCAAATTTGTAATTTTTGTGATTACACTGGTAATTCAGAAAACTGCGACTGAATCTTCGGTGTGAACACCTATATGTGTGAACAACTCAATAGTAGCGTCGCTAAAATCGGCAGGTTCGCTGCGGTTAATCTCCTACTGCCCTCATACATTTTGCATTAGGTCTACAGAAAACTGAAAATTCACTGAAAATACATCCTCTAAATTAAGTATTACTTTTTTATTAGAAAATTATGACCTTTTAAATCACTGATTAATTTGTACCAATCAGGCTTATTTTGATGGTATCCTCGGTTCCAATATGTCTGTGTGCTTACTATGCTAGATAATAATATCTATATATTTTACCTCTGTAGGGATTACAAGAACGCAAGGGATCTTCACATAGGAATAACGAATTCAAAAGGTTATTAAAACTTTTGTTTGCACATTGCTCGCCGCATTAGCCCCCACACGTTGTTGATTTCCCTTTAGAAACAATTTCGAGAACAAGCTATTTTAGAACGTATTACGTTGCTGACGAAAATCAGTGGAATTTCCCAATTGAACTATACGCCTGAGTGATATAACACGCATTCTTAGATACTGTTGCGAGGCCGGTAAATCACTGCAAATTGCCAACTTTGCGACACTTTACTAAACAGCGTTTTACAACGCCCCTAGACCAATGTCTAGACCTATCTCTAAATCACCATAGGCGGGTATGGGTAGATCTCATCAGATGGGTATATAGATATCATAAAGAGTCCATAATAGAGATATCTCTATTATGGACTCTTGATATATATGCGTCACAGTATTTCTCGTGGATTGGCAATTTTGCAGGTTTGGTGCACGACTACAATGAGAAAGGCGTAAATTTTGGTTCATCTAGCTGGGAGCAGTGCGTGTCTGTGCCTCTCCAGTGCAGAAACGCCCGGCGGTGGGATGCAGAACTTCGCAATTTTTCGGCGCATGGCGATTGGTTCCCTCAAAAGTATGTCGATGAGTGTCAGCGCAGACGACTCTCTTTCTCTCTCTCTCTCTCTCTCTCTCTCTCTCTCTGAGGAGAGAGAGAAAGAGAGGACGGCAGAGGAAATCAGCGAACAGTAACTTTTGAGGGATAAAAGAAATAAGAAATGGCAGACGAAAAAATGAGAAGGTTATGAATAGAACAAGAGCATGGGAGTTTAATTGCAGATGGAGAGGAAAGAAGACAAAAGAAAACACTGGCTCAAAAAGCTAGATGAACCAAAATTTAACGCCTTTCTCATTGTAGTCGCTGGCAACCAAACCTGCAAAATTGCCAATCCACGTAGAAATATCTGTGACGCCATGATAAGTCAAGAGTCATAATGAGAGATATCTCTTATATGACTCTTTATGATATCTACTATACGCCATCTGATGAGATCTCCCATACCCGCCTATGGTGATTTAGAGATAGGTCTATGACATATGGTCTAGGGGCATTGTAAGAACGCTGCTGTTTAGGTAAAGTGTCGCAAAGTTTGGCAGCCGTTTGCAGTATTTTACCGGGCCTCGCACGCCCGTAATCTAAGAATGCTGTTATACTACTCCAGCGTATACGTTCAATGTTGGGAAAGTTTGCGGGCACTGGATTTTCGTCAGGCAACGTAATACGTTCTAAAATAGCGTTGTTCGAAATTGTTTCTAAGGGAAAGTCAGCCAAGCAGTGTGGGGGACTAAATGCGCGAGCAATGTTTCAAACAAAAGTTTTAAATAACCTTTTGAATTCGTTATTCGCTATGTGAAGCCTCGCACCGTTGCGTTCTTGTAATCCTACAGAGGCTAAAATATATAGCATAATTATGTATCTAGGCATACGTAAAGCACACAGACTATTGGAACGAGGATACCATCAAAATAGAGCCTGATTGGTACAGCAATTAAATCAGTGACTTTAAAAGGTCATAATTTTCTACATAAAAATAAGTAATACGTAATTGTAGAGATGGTATTTTCAGTGAATTTTTCAGTTTGTCTGTAGGACCTACATGGCAAAATGTATGAAGGGCAGTAGGAGATTAACGCGGCAGCGAACCTGCGATTTTAGGCGACGCTACTACTTGAGGTTTGTTCACCATATCGGTGTTCACACCGAAGATTCAGTCGCCAGTTTTCTGGATTACCCAGTGAAATCAACAAAATTACAAATTTGCCCCGCATGGTACCTGTATGTACACAGATGCCCGGAGGCTATGGAACATATATATGCACAGCAATTATGTATACAATGTTGTTATCATATAACATAATTATATTATAATTGAAATGAGAAAGATATATACATAAGATATAAATATGAAATCGGTATGGTAACGAATATAGTACAAATAGTAGTTTAATAAATATGTACTGCGATACAAATCTAAATGTCAAAGCTGCCTATGTAGAAAATAGATAAGAATATCAGGAGTGAATACTGCGGCAAACGAGCGTTTGTCTCTGCATAGTTTATCCTGATTGATATAGATATTATGTTCATAGTAATGATGCATAGTATAGACCTTCCGTGCTTACTATACACAGCTGCCCTATGTATTGACGCACGGCCCACATACCTGAGGAAGCGACCTAATCGTCCGGCCGGATCACTAAGCTGTGGGGTGAAACGTGAGAAGGGGGAAGGCACGCTGGAAAGGGGGAGGATGAGCTCAAGAGCTTGCGCAGTAGCCACCGCATCAGAGGACACGTCCTCCTGGAATTTTGGCAAGGCGTAGGATTTTGCGGCTTTTCTGGCCAGTGTTCGAATGCAGAATATCGGCTCCGTGAACCGCGCGTTCATCGAGCTGAGAAAGCAACGAGAAGTCAACAAACACAATGTCGAATTTATTGCTAACCGATTAGGAATTCGACGAGGACACGTAGATTCGGTGTCGGCAGTAAGATCGGCATCCACTAATTGCCCACTCATGATATGAGTTACGTGTGTGTGGGTAGGCGGGAGGGAGGGGGTGAATTGCCAGGCACAAGCACAGAACCACGTGCTTACCATTGTACAAGAATTCTAAAATTAACAGACCTATTCGATTGAATGATCTGAAGATGTAATGAGGTGTAATAAGTAGTAAGTTTCTTATACTATAGATCGAGAATGGCCACAGGCCGACATTTCTTTCTATTGTAGGCCCTACAGAATTACAGTGACAGAAATCAAACATAACAGACTATTACTGAATCGTTGAAATAATTCGCTAGTTATTGTCTCGCACGTGAGAGATTTACCCATGAAAGAGCTGCATATATTTAAATGAACTCCGAAAATCCGTGCTTGACAAAATAACCGATGTAGGAATGACCTTGGAAAGGCTAACGATCCATGGTAATATCATTTTTACTAGTTCATGTATGTGATTAGGCATTTTCGACGGCACGGATTTTTCGAATATACGTTAGTTAACGCACTGCGCCCCGCACACACACAGAAAAGCACGCGATGCACACACAAACGTCAGGTCTCTAACGGGCGGCGGGCTACTTTGGTTCGGAGAGCAGGATCGCACCACGCACGCGCGCGCACACACAACCCTCACACGCAACGTCACTGCACGCACGCACACACGACGCACGTACTAACATTTCTGGTGAGTTGTGTTGTCTGTCGTGCTGTTGTCCGTGTCCGGCTATAGCGCCAAGACGTTGTGCGGCTAGGGTAACTTGACCCGGTACGGGGTGTCATTGGATAGGTGCCGGTTGACTTTCAGAGGTCACAGGAGGTTATCCGGAGCCAAACAGTCATGTTTGTGGGTAGAGATAGAGCAGCACAGATAGAGAGACGGGTCGCAGATCCGACCTCGAGGCACTGAAGCTCATATAGGATATCACGGCAGGACAAGCATATTTCAATAATAACCTTTAAAGATATTTTCATTTTTCGTGGCCAAGACTAAGGAGATGGCGGACTTTGTTATGAGGTAGCGCACAAAATTCCTCGACCCCCAGCAGAACGGTTGCATGGGCCGGATGAGAATCAAATGCTGATCTCACGAGGTCATGTAAGGTCGGCTATAACGGTACTTTTTTCCCTTATTACACAATGGAGAGTTTGTAGAGCCTTTTTGACCATTGTTCTGCCTCACCTGCGCGAATTTAAAACTTTTTCGAACTCTCCTTCACGATTTGCAAGTGCAGCAGACCTAGAAACGTACTCTAACCGTTTTCCCTATATAAGGCGCAATGTAACTTTCTGGAAACTTCTGATATTCCATTTTACGGGTATTAAACAGACTATTTGCCATAGATACTCAAATTAAACCGTAATCTTGATCGCACGAAAGCTTCTCAAACAGGAAACACGCCTGGCTGTTAAGGCAACTTCTTCCTCAAATTCACCCGAGGCAATAATTTATGTCTGGGGTTGGCAATAAGAAGGATGTGTTTATCCTAAGGATCCTTTCCAACAGACGCCTTTCAATTCAAGCACCTCCAATTCGCAGTTAGACTCAGCAATGACTACTCAAATCAGGCATCAAGGCCTTTAACAATATCGCATATATGAGAATTTGCTCTACTATGGAAGTTGGTACTAACCTTTCCCCAAGCCAACGCCGGATATAATACCCCACCATAGTATAGTGAATATTATATATATATGCCACGAAAATAACTCCAAGCAGTACAGGCGTATCGACGCGTTCTGTCGCTGCGCGTATTCCCCGGCTGTACTTCAAACTTGTACAGTCTGAGAAATCAAGTAACACTACGGGGGTAAACATAAATATAGATATACAATATATCTATAAGTAGGATAAATTACCCAGGAATATATAAGAATTCGATAAATAAATAAATAAAGCAAGGTTATATGACAAGGTAATATCTCTTCCTCTGTTTTCCCCTCCCTCTTATCTCTCTACCGTAATTCCCACAAGGTTTCTAACGAGGACACGATGGCATCTCTATATAGATATAGCGACGTACGGGTGTAGCACATCCGACACACCATTAGGCTGGCGCAACTTTCCGTTACGTCACTACATGCGGCTCCAGGCGAGAATGCCGTTTCTACGCAACTGACTCCTACTTATTATGTGATCCATTTCCTTTGTCCAATTGCAGTGTATACAATGGCGCCCCGTACTGTAACGATAGCGTGGGAGCATCGCGGACTTTTTGTGTCCGTGACAAGCGAGTTTGATAACGATCGAGTAAGACTATGATCGGAAGTTCGTATTACTATCGACGCGTTGGATGCCATGTACTCAGAAACGACCCGGTATAACCAGCACTGTATCTATATATATATATATATAGCCTTATCCACACCGCAACTGATGATCAATAAAGCACAGGTCAGTGACAAGAGAGCATCGTCGTCAACGCTATGTGAGGCCACCACGTGTCACTGCACCATGCACAACCGATGAAGCCAGCGCACATTATACCTCCAGCGCTATTCTGTAACCGATAACCCACAACGAACTCTCTATGACGAAATCAAGGTCACACGCACGTCACCGTCCTAGGTGTAGCTGTCGCATTGGCAACAAGGAACATGACCAAACGAGCTAAAACCTCAAATGTTTGTTGTCAATCGAATGCTGTCATTTTATTTACAAAAGATTTTGAACAACACTAATATATAATGAACTCTTTACACATGGCATATCTGTAACATGTACATGTTACGGGCACACTGCAAACGCACCTGTGTTGTATGTGCTGCACATGCATTAGTTTGGTCATGGCAACATCACTGTGCTCAGGTAGCATTGCGTAGGATTCCTTCAGACAAGATATAGTCACATTCCATAAACGGCTGTATCAAATTATCGCACTGAAAATACACCGATGCTCGACGCATATACGTCCAACCAGACGTGAATTTCAACTTCTCTCACTTGCTGACATCGACGTTAGTCACACCGTACACGATTGTTGTCCCATCTTAGCCCAGATGACGAAATTAGAATAGAGGCCAATCATATCGAGCAAATTGCCCCCCGAAATAGGAATAATCTGTTTACTTTAGGT